ACGCGCCCATCTCATCGCGCCATAGCACAGGCAAGCAAGTTCACGACATAGGCATGATTCAAAACAAAGACTGCAAATAAAAGGATGGGCGCCCCAAAAAGAAAACATAACCAGGTTCTAACATAACTAAGGGCAGGCGCCCCAATCACACATCGTCTTCATGCCCGGAATCAGAGGCCGAGTCATCGCTACCATCACCATCTTCATCGTCGCCATCGTCGTCCTCACCTTCAGGCGCCTGATCAATCACTGGGCGCCCACTCTCCATGAACTTAATCACGAAGTCCACCATGGAATTAACGTCCCACTCCACGTCGGGATGCTCGGCTGCCAGCTTCCTACGGAGAATCAGGATACTGTTCAAAGCAGCCTCGGCCTTAAGTGCTTGGCCCGCTTGAGACTTGGCAAACTCCGCAGGCTGAGACTCAAGCGCTTCTTTTTCGGAGGCAAGCGCCTGCTTTTCCTCCTCAAGTCTCTTTATTGCCGACGCCGATTTCTTATTCTCCCTCGACAGGCGCTTATTCTCCCTCGCCAAGTCATTCTTCTCTTGTTTTAGGAGATCAATTTCGCTTCTATAGGCGCCTCCTTCATTCTCCAACTCCTTCTTCTCCTGCTCCAACTTCGCCACCAATTCACCATGCGCCTTCCTCTCGACCTCAATCCGAGCTTCACATTCCTCTTCCAACTTCCTCTTTTCAGCATCAACCAACTCTTGAACGAGAGAGGCGCTCTTAGCCGCTTCGAGCTGCGCATCTTCGCACATCTTTACTAGCTCCGCTTGGCGCCTTTGAGCTGTTGCAAGGTCATCCTTGGCCACGCCAACGGATATTGCGGCCTCGTTGGAAGAGGCGCGTAGAGCCTCTCGCTCCAATATGCCTCTCTTGGCCACAAGCATCATCTACAAAAATACACACTGAGTTAAGTCGAAGAAACACTAAATGAGTATGTAAAATACACATGGAGGTAAGTAAAGGAAGTACTTACCTGGGCGCTCATTCGACACATCTCACCCCATGGATCGCCACCGTCCAGGTCACTAGGCGCCCGGAGCACTTCACCCGCCTTCAGAGCCATTTGAATGGCAGCGCCATGCTCCAAAGCAGACCTATTTGAACATTCCAAAGTTACCTTGTGTTTTGGTGGTTGGAGCCATTTCGCCACAGACTCAGGAATTGGCACATCCTCGTCCATCCGCGCCTTCTTTGCCAACTCACCCTGGGCGCCCTCTGCCTTCCTCTTCATCTTCGTTATTAGAGGAACCTCATCCTCCACGTCCTCCACATCTTCAGCGAGGTCAGTGCGCGTGATGGGTTTTGGAGGTAAGGTAGCCTCAGGCGCCTGATCCTCCCTCACGTCGGTGAAGTCGGTCACTTCGTCGACAAGGGGCGGGCTCGGAATTGGAACGGGCTGAATTCTTTTAGGAGATTTGCCTTTCCTACCCGCACGCCCCTGGCCCTTGTCCACCTCGGGGTCACGCGCCTGCGCCTTCGATCCACCTACAGCTCCCCCCTTCGAAGCCTGGGCGCCCTTCGTCCGTCCCTTTCTTGAGCTAGGCGCTCTTTTGGGTGCCAGCCCCAACTTCGCGAACTGACTCTTCATTAACGTGGTCACGGACGTAAAGTCAGCACCTGCACGCAAACACACAACACAATCAGGGTCAGTATGCGGATAAAATTAGGAATATAGGCGCCCTGCTACACAAAGGATAGGCGCCCACCGTCATTATAGTACTCATAAAGCACGGGCGTCCTAGCGGCCGTGGAACTTAAGTCCACGGGATGTAAACATAAAAGGCGGGCGCCCTCAATCTCCTCCTCTGTAGTCAAGGGCGCCTCGATGTTAAACGCCTCCACATCGCCAAGCGCCCAGCCGCGGGTAAATGAGGCTCCGCTCTCATAAAAAGAAGCCTTGCGTGGTTTAATAAAGAAAAAAGACCTGAACCACTCCCTGCCTAGCTTTGGAGAATCTATCAAGAAGTGCCCGGGAATGTCTGTGCGCCTTTGCAACGATAGACAGTTATCGCTATGCACCATGGTGAAAAAGTGGTGAAAAAGCCTAAAAGTGGGCGTGACATTGTGTTGTCGACATTTTAGCTTGAAAAGAATGTGAATGAGAAAAACGGAAGGGGATAAACGCCCAAGTGAGCACTGACTAAGTTTGAGGATGCCTTCAAGAATAGAATCTAAAGGAAACCGCAAGCCAAATCGGAAGTACTCCCGGTACATTCCAAGCCAACGGGGACCAACTACCCCAATGCGGGCCAAGCGGGGGGCAGGCGCATAGGACCAGGCGCGCGGGAGTTGCATCGACACGACAATATTCTCCAACTGAAGCGCCCTGATGGTAGACACGTGTAATGGCCCTGCCTCAGCAAGAGTCATATGACAAGTCTCGAGGGGCGCTTCCCCTGATGGCCACGTATCCTCCCAATTCTTTATCTTCACTGGCCCAGCCTCGCGGGCGCCTGAGCCAGTTGATCGGGGGGACACCTCCAACTCGTCCGTTGGTGATGGTCCAGGCGCGTGGCCTATAAGGTTGACGCAAACGGGGCAGGGTCAATTACACTAACCTAGTCCACTAAGGCTAAAAAAAGAAAGAAAAAAAAAAAAAAAAAAAAAAAAAAAAGGGGGTTGCTCGGTCAAGAAAACTCACTTGTACCAGGTTTCGTAGGCGCTGCGCCGGGTGAGCCGCCTCCCTTCACTACGGCTGCCGATCCGCCCGCCTCGACCACGGGCCCATCAGAGCCTTTCCGCGCCTCCCGGGACGTAGGATGATCCTTGGCGGGCGCCTCCTTGCCACTGCGGGGGGTCCACCCACCCGATTGTCGGTTGGGGTCGGGGGAGAAGTGCCCCTCCAGAACCTTAATCACGTCTGGCTCGGAGGGGTTTTTGGGGGGCGCATCAGTAGATGAGGCGCCCGGGTCATTCGGAGTAGCCATATCGGCCTTCGGTAGCTAGAGAAGAAGAGGCGCACAACACGGTGGGTAGAGAGAGAAGGAAGAGAGAGAACGAGATGAAGCGAATGAAGGAGGGGAGGGGGGCGACGAGTCCTATTTATAAGGGGCGGAATCCCAACGGTCAGATATAGGGATGCGTGCCATTAATCCCCCTTCATCCACGCCGTCCGTTCAAAATTCAAATTCCCAATTTCAATTTCCAAAAATTCAAAAATTCGAAATTTGAATGTTGGAAGCGCACGGCGGGGGGACAGGTGGAGGCGCCGATATTCTAGCAAAGCGGGCCACACAGGCGCCTCGATGTTGAGAAAGGCATAAGAATAAACTTAATACGGGCACCAAATTGGTTCTGATGGGCGCATAGAAGGCGAAGGGGCGCCGATATTTTAACAAAGCGGGTCACATAGGCGCCTTGATGTTGAGAAAGTTATAAGAATAAACTTAATAACGGGCACCAAATTGGTTCTGATGGGCGCATAGAAGGCGAAGAGACAGGTCGTGGATGAAACGGCGCCTCGATGACTGAGAAGGGAATAAGGGATGGGCGCGTAGAATATGATGGGATGGGCCATGGATGAGACGGGCCCAAGTTTAGCGTGAATAGGCGCATGAATGTTGAAGGTCAGGAATATTTTGAGACCAGAATAGTTAGGCGCTCACTAGCAGTCATGAGCACCTAACTGGGGGACAATTGTTGGGTATAGACCCATGGATCAAGTCAGTGGGGGACATGAGCTCAGAAGGTAGGATAGGAGCCCAAGCCCAATTAAGAAGTGTTGGATATAGGCACATAGACTAAATCAGTGAGGGACATGAGCCCAGAAGGTATAGTTGGGCCCCAAACCCAACTAGGAGCATGAGTGGGTAACAAGAGAGGAGGAAAAGCCCAGTCGCGAAGGAGGGGGCGCGTAACGACAAAAGTAGATGCGGGGACCAGGTGGCCTAGGAGTCAGGAAGAGGAGAACGCGCCACCTGGAAAGGTGGTCCTGCCGGGCGCCTGGGCGCCGAGGTCTGGGAGATGCCACGTGGAAATACCCGACCGTTGGACCGACCAAGCATTAAATGACGCGCTGACGTGGAGCATGATTCCAGGAGCCTGGTCGGGTCCTCAACGAGTATAAATAGTACTCGGTAGGTAGCATTTACGCAGGTTGGCTTCTCACACTAAAACCCGACTTACACTTCTCTCTCTAGATTCGCTTCTAACTTGAGCGTTGGAGTGCTAACGGGCGAACCAAAGCCCTTTAGGCGCTTGTCCTTGCAGGGTTTGGGCGCCTTGGAGGTGAAGGAAAGGGAGGTGGTCTAGCGAGGTGGGACGAAAGGTAACCGGGCACAAACACAACTCATCAGCGCTAATCTATTTGGCAGACTGATATGGCGGCAAAAGCATTTAATCTCTGCCATTGGTTAATCTAATGGAAATTTGGACACATTTTAGAAAGGGGTCCTTCTAGTAAGGTTGATTTAGTAAGGTTGATCTATTTGGAATGAAGCAATTTGACAGGATTGGCAATATAAATTTTGAATGAAGCAATTTGACAGGAGGAACTTTGAATGGACTCATTTTGAGATCATTCCAATTGTTTGAATTGAGAATAGGTAATTTAAATGGACTCGTTTTGTAAAATGCGACAATAGATCAAATTATCTTATTTTTTAATTGATCAATTCGAATTGTTTGTCATCACCTTAAACAATTATAATTGTTTCAAAATGAGACAATTTAAAAAAATTTGGCTTAAATTATTTCATCCAAAATTTATGTGGCCAAAGAGATCAATTTTATGAGTTCAAATTGGATTAAATTTGCATAAATAGAATTTCTCATCAAACCGACACAATTGTTGGGTTTCATCAAACCGGTCAAATTTCAATATGAAGTAGCATTAGTGGATGGGCCAGAATCGAAATGGGCCCGATTGCATCCAATGATTTCGACCCATCACTTCACGGGAAAAGGAAAGCAATCACAGCGCGGAGAGAGCGATACACTCAACTCAACTAGCGAACTATCCGTTAGACTCTCCAACGGCTACATACAGTTTTCTCTTTTGAAACTTCAGAGACCCCAAAACCCAATTCTTCTTCCAAACTCTCTGCTTCGAGCTTTCTCCCGTCTCTTCGCTCTTCCTTTCCTCTTTCCCTCTCCAGTTCATTAAGCTTCTGATCTCCCATTTTCTTTCTCAAATTCTAGCTTTTTCGTTCAAAATTTCCCAAAAATTGCGCCCAAAGATCCAAGGTTTGGCCTCTTTCGATTCTGGCTTAGAGATGGCTCCAACGCCATCTTCTTCCTCCAAACCGCACCCTACCCACCACTCTTTCAAGACCCCTCAATCCAAACAGCGCCTCAATTTCGCCTCCGCTCGCACTCCTAATCACCAACCCTCACCAAACCCTAATTCCGCCGTCAAGGAAATCCAGCCGATCGATCACCCGATTGAGGTGATCGGCCGCATCAGGGATTTCCCCGACCGAAAGGAGAAACCTGCTTCAGTCTTGAACGTGAATCCCGACGGTGAGACGGTTAGAGTCCGGGCGGAAATCGGCTACAGGGACTTCACCCTCGATGGAGTTTCATTGTCCGAGCAGGAGGATCTCGATTCCTTCTACAAGAAGTTCATCCAGTCCAGAATTACCGGGGTGAAATTGGGGGAGAAGTGCACGATTATGATGTACGGGCCGACGGGTTCTGGGAAGAGCCACACGATGTTTGGGTGTCCCAAGCAGCCAGGGATAGTGTACAAGGGTTTGAAGGATATTTTGGGGGAAGGAGGAGAAGAGAAAGGCAGCCATGGGGAAAAGCTGGGGATGATGGCTACTTTCGTACATGTCACTGTTCTGGAGATATATAATGAGGAAATTTATGATCTTTTGTCCAGTAATGGTGGGGCTGGAGGGTTTGGAATTGGGTGGCCTAAGGGTGGCAGCGCCTCAAAGGTAAGAAAGAGTTACCATGCCTCTTGTGTTGGAGCTTCTGCTGGGCTTTCCTTGCTTGCTTTTATTGAGTTGGAAAGTTTGGACATGTGGTCGTTCCCCTGGTTTTGGGTTTGAATGGGACTTCCTTCATCTCGTAGTTTCTGTTCTTGTTTGTGGAACTAACATTGTCGATATCTTCCTTACTCTATGCGAACTTTCTGATGAGCTTTTTGCTTGATTTATTGAGTTGGAAAGTTTGGGACTTGCTGTTCTTCCCACAGTTTTTTGTTTGGTTTAAATGGGTAGTTTCTCCATGTTATAGCTCTTGGTTATGTTTCTGTTTGTTGAACTAGTATAGTAGATAGCTTCTTTACTGTCTCCTTGCTTTTACTGTGTGAGAACATCTGTGGCAGCTAGATGCATTTGACGCGAACTTTAGGGATCATTCTGTCCTTATAAGCAGAATCTGGGTTGTTAATTCTGTTCCTCTCAGTTGAAATAACACGGTGGATGTTCTGTATAGTACTCTCCTTATTTTTACTGTATGATCTAGCTCCCGGTCAGGTGAAATCCTTGGTGTTCATTATTTCCTTATGAGCTGATCCTGTGTTGTCAATGCCAATTTTGCAGGCAAGACTCGAAATAATGGGAAAGAAGGCGAAAAATGCCACTTTCATATCTGGGTCTGAAGCTAGCAAGATTCTGAAAGAGATTCAGAAGGTGGAGAAGAAGAGGATTGTCAAGAGCACTCTCTGTAATGAAAGAAGTTCCAGAAGTCACTGTATGGTATGTATGAATTCTTTCCGAGGGTTCATTAAATTGAATGTAATGCCTAATTCCTTTCTCACTTGGAAAAATCACTTGTTTCTCTTCATCTTTCCTTTCATATAGATTATCCTAGATGTTCCAACAGTGGGAGGCCGCCTGATGCTTGTAGACATGGCAGGATCAGAAAACATTGACCAAGCTGGGCAAACTGGCTTTGAGGCTAAGATGCAGGTAGGTAAAGTTGGCAATTCAAAGTTGCCTTGATTGTTAAAAAGAAAGGTTGTCTTAAATTTATTCTAGAATCAATCTAAGGGAGTTTTGAGATTCACTTCATTTGGAATAAACAGACAGCCAAGATAAATCAAGGGAACATAGCACTAAAACGGGTGGTTGAGTCAATTGCAAATGGAGATTCTCATGTGCCTTTCAGAGATAGCAAGTTGACTATGCTGCTCCAGGTAAAAACTTCCCTCAGAGTTTTGACATGGGGTGAAACATCTGCTTTCTTTGGCTTTGGATTTTTAGTTTCTCTTTTTACTATGGTGCAGGATTCTTTTGAAGATGACAAGTCAAAGATTCTAATGGTTCTTTGTGCAAGTCCTGATCCAAAGGAGATCCACAAGACAATCTGCACTCTCGAATATGGAGCTAAAGCAAAGTGCATTGTCCGTGGCCCTCATACCCCAATTAAAGATACTGAGGACTCTAGTTCAGTCGCATTGGGATCTAGGATAGCAGCCATGGACGAGTTCATCTACAAGCTGCAAATGGAGAACAAGGCCAAAGAGAAAGAGAGGAGCGAGGCACACAGACAGCTCATGAAGAAAGAAGAAGAGATAGCTTCCTTAAGAGCCCAGATTGCAGTGAGAGAAGCTATAGTTCCGAGTGAAGAAGAGATCAACGTGAAGGTGAATGAGCGAACACAGATGATGAAAATCGATCTTGAGAGGAAGTTACAAGAATGCCAGAAGGCAGCTGAGAAGTTTTTTGAGATGGAGAAGAAGAGGATGGAAGAGAAGATATTGCAGCAGCAACAAGAAGTTGAAATGCTGAGGAGACGACTGGAAGAGTTTGAGCTGGAGGCAAGTCGTCCTAAGGTTAGCGGGTTGGAGCAAAGGGATGCTGCAAATGAAGTGGGTGGTTGCAGAAGTAGCTTTGCAAGCAGGCTGTTGGGAGCTTGTGGTGGAGACGATGAGGCAGGGATGGTCAAATCAATGGATCTGGACATGGGGGATCAAGAAGTCTTTGTGCGCGAGGTTAAGTTTGTAGACTCAGCTTCTAATCAGCCAGGCAGCAACATTGACAGTCCTTATTTCCCTCCACAGACTGATGCATTTGGAACGAACTATGGTGATAAATTTAATCTCAGCACGGTTTTTGAAGAGGAAGAAGTGGATGAAGAAGATGATGAACAACAGAAGATGGATGAGGAGGAAGAAGAAGAAGAAGTTGAGAAGAAGGTTATAGAGGTGGAGGAGTGGAAGAAGCAATCGAGTCAGGGAGAGGACAACAGCAAACTGAAGGACGACGACATGTCTGAGGCTAGCAGGAGGTTAAGAATTCAAAACATATTTACACTCTGCGGAAACCACAGGGAGCTATCCCATACCCAGACTCAGACCAACAGTACACCAGTGGCTGCTGCTGCTAAAGGGTTTCAGGAGGTTTGTTCTGAGAAGGAGAACAACAACCCTCAACTCCCATTAACTCCACTTCTAGATTACAACACACTCCCACCACTCACACCAGGTTCATGCTTGTCTTCTAAACAGAAGATAATGCAAGAAGGGGATGGTTTCTCACCTGAAGTTGAGCACCTAAGATCCACTCCGTTCATTACTAAGAGAAAGGCTCTACACTGATCTTATCCTGTTTCCCCTTTTGTATCTTGGGGCAATTTTTCTCGAGTATATGTGCCCATGTACTCCTGTGTATGCAAGTCTCACTTTTGTAGCGTGGAATGCTTGTGTGATGTGATCATTTTGATTGGAAATGGGATCCATTGCTGTCATAAACTCGCATACTAGAATGCAAGAGCATCCCACTTCCCACCATTCAGTCCCTGCTTCCATTTCGATATTTGCATTATACCCTCAAAAGGGTTCACTTTAGACTAACTCCAACCCATAAAGGGGAATTTAGCTCCCCAAATGGCCAAATATGGCTTTTTAGCTCCCCAAACCCACTTTTCACTCCAACCCTATAAAAAGCTAAATTTAGCTTCCCATTTCCATTTTTCAATTTATTTCAATAAACCATACTTATTTGACCTCTAATTTTTATATTTCACTTTAATTTTTTCATAATTCATTATTAGTTTTGAATACAAATTTTTTGATGTAATTTTTTTTAAATTCCGAGATAATTTTTTTTTCAAAAATTAGTCGTTAAAATATGACCGTTTTTTATGGCCGTTAAAATATGATTGTTTTTTCGTCACTACATCAATTATTTCAAATTGAATCACAAACAACCAATGAGAATAGAGAAAAAAAATCCAAAACAAATTGGCAAAACAAATTCCCTCACTACAAAAGTTAAAAGAAAAAAGAAAAAAAAAGTAACAGCACGTCAGCTGCGGAGAAGGGCGCCGGACGCGCGCCTGGGGCGCACGCGCGCGGAGGAAGACCTTCCCCCGCGCGCGTGCGCCCCAGGCGCGCGTCCGGCGCCCTTCTCCGCATCTGACAAACAAACCCACTTTTTGGCAGCCAAATATCACTCCCCACCCCAAAACCCAGCCAAATTTCCCTTCCAAAATCCCAATACCCATTTTTTGCTTCCCATTTTTTTGTGGGTTGGAGCTTGAAAAAGAGCCAAATTTGGCTTTTTAGCATTTTAGCTCCTTGGGTTGGAGCCAGCCTTATGTCATTGTGTTTTGCTTCACAGTTGGAGGCTTTGGCCAATAAGCAAATTGACAACAGAAAAGATTGCAACTTTTCTTTTTGTTTCTCGCACACAGGGTGGTGGGGGTGGTGAAGAAGTACAAATTGAATGATTCCATTATATCATCATCTCTCAAAAGAAGTTTACAGGAAACAGTAAACAACTCCTTTCCTCTCTGCCTTCTCCAACTCCTGTTAAAACTTTACAATGTATATATACCTTTCTCCAAATTGATACAAAGCTCTAGCTACGGTGATGCAAAACAAAGAAGAAGAAAAAATTAAGAAAAAGCAAGAAACTTTTGAACAGCAACAAAAGAAATTAATTGTCAAAAAAGAGAAAGAAAAAAATTTGGAGGGAAACAGAGGAGCCTTTCTTCTTTTCTCTTTAAACCCTTTCTCCGATCTCTAAAACCCACATACAAATTAAACCACCGAAGTTTTTCAATTTTGTGTTTTTAATCATCTCATTGGTAGGCGTCCAAAACTGAAGTTAGATGGCCGGCGGTGGTGCTCTTGGTGGAGCCACCGTCCGCCGTCGGGGGAAGCCCGTCGGCGGCAGCGGAATTTTCGGGCTGATCCTTCGATCGGGCTCTCGACTTTCGGGTGCGAGAATGCTTTGGAATGGATGGCTGGTCCTGGCCGGTGGGGGATTCGTCGCCGCCCTGGTTGGAGGATTTCTTGCTCTTCCTCGACTTGACGCTGCCGCCCGACGACTCCCTGGCTGGGGATCCCATGGCCAGGTTGTTGGAAGAGCGGTGGCGCCTCGACTTCCTCTCGCCGTCTCCGGCCTTGGGTGATCCCGCCGGAGAGCCAGCCGCACTGCTGGAGGTCGACGGCCGCCGCGAGTGCTTTGGCGCGTCGCTGGATGAGCGCCTTGACTTGTGCTTTGACTTTTGGGCTGGCCCGCCGGCTGGGGTCCACCAAAAAAAAAAGAGAAACGCCGTTAACCGTTATCAAGTAGCAATATGTAATTAGTCCAAACTTTTCAAGAGTTGAAGGTGATAGATTAAATTATTAAACAAAATTTGTTTAATTAATAACATTAGAACATAAGATGATTTAATATAGAATCAAAATTAATCAATGCATTAGTTATAAAAAAAATTAATCAATGCATTACCCTAAGTTCTAAATTTTCAATTCATAACCCTACTAACCTCAAATAGTAAAGCATAAACTCTAAACCTAAATATCTAAACCCTAAATCATTCAAATTAAATAAGATCTTGAATAATTTTTTGTGCTAATTCATGAATTTTCTTGTTCCTCATATCATAAATGAAGATTAACTTCATTTTGTCATGAACCGTCTTAAAAATGATGGTTATGTTATGCACCCAAAAAACCGCAAGAAAACTATATATAATTTTTATGGTTTCAAATTTTATGCTACTGAGTGTTTTGTTAATGATGATTTCACTATTAAAAAATATTACTCTTGTTATAGCTTCCTTTTATAGTTTTTGGTTTTTCCTCCTAATTATATTTTCATTGACAGCATAATTGAAAGGACAAGACGTTTGACCGATTAGGTTCGAATCTATAAGATCTATCGTTTGATGTTTCGATGAACCTTTACCATCACATGATTTTGGAACATATATATCTAGGGCTGTCGATTTGGTTTGGTTAACCAAACCATTAAATATGAAAAACCAAAAACCAAAAACCAAAACCATTAAGATCCTTATTGGTTTTTGGCACCCAAAACCAATAAGGACCTTAATGATTTTGGTTTTTGTTTGGATAACCAAAAAACCAACATGTACTCATACACTCATATTTATTCCTATTTCCCTCCTTTTTATTGAATAAACATCATAATAATGGTAAATGGCCATTACCAATTATTGGTTGGCATGCGTGTCAAAAGAAACAAAAAAAAAATTGTTGATAAATAATTTTATTCTTATTGGTTTCTTAATGGTTTCTATTGGTTTTTCGGTTTTAACCAAACCAAAACCATTAAGTTGCTTATTGGTTTAAAACCAAAAAACTGAAACCATTAGCTTTCCAATTGGTTTGGTTTCGGTTAAAACCAAAAAACCAAAACCAAATGGACAGCCCTATATATATCCCTTGTTCCTTCTATAATTTACTATCTAAGCCTATGAAATTTCTTAAAAACAAGAAGCCAGGCATGTATGAAGTGGGGAAAGGAATGACATGAGAGAACCTTCAGACTGTGCTTTTGGTGAAGGAAGGCTCTTGAGGTCATCTGTAGAATTCAAAGGGCCGCTCATAGACTCTGGGCTTGATTTAAACTCATTCATCTGCATAAATGTAAAACCCTTGTTCAAACCATAATAACCATTTTTGGTCTTTCAGTTTTGAGGTGTTTTGTTTTTATGTTTGTTGTCACAACTTTATTGAAACATAACATAACCTATTGAAATCACAATAGTATGAGAACTATAACATAATGCAATGTGACATACCCAACTTGGAGTGGTGGAAGAAGGGCCATCACTTCCAATATGTGCTACATGTTTTACATCTGTGGGAAGCCCGATCTCGAATTCCGGCACTTTCTCATCTACTCAAGAAAGAAAAAGATTTCAATTTTGATATGCTAAGATAGAAAAAAGATCAACATGTCCTGAAAAGAAAGGATAACATTATTCACCAAAGATGTTATGAGAGATGGTATATTTAAGTCCTTTAAAGAGGCCTTTCACTTTTGTCGTCATTTTTATCTAGGTAAGAGAACCTCTTATAGCAACAACTATTGATAGATCTGTAATTACAATACACCGCTTAGAGAATGTTGAGAAATCGAGTCAAGAAGAGAAAGCCATAGCAAAAGCAAGATTCTCGAAACATCATTTCCAAAGAGGATCTTGGTTGCTTTGAAATCTCAACATTCTCCTCCCGAGAAACAAAAAATCAAGATGATTGAGAAGTTACGAGGATTGACTTCTCTCTCTTTTTTTCCACCTTTGTTTGTAGGTTTAGGTAATGAACTCAAACAATTCTTGATTGTTGAAGGCCATCAACAACAATCAAGAAGAGAAAGAGGGAGATTACTTTGGAATGCAAAGGAGCAGAAATCTCAAAATGTTGGATAAGGCTAACACATGAATTTTGTTGGTGGTGATGGGGTCAATGGGAAAAACACCAACACCTTTTTCCATTCTAAACTCATTCATCTTCTCCAATGGATATCCTATTTTTCAGCCACATTCATCATGTTGGCAATTGACTAATAAAAGCCATGATTTTGTCCTTTTATCTCCTCCCTTGCTTTTTTGTCTTGTTTCCTCAATACACAGAATATTGCATTTGTCATGAAAGTAAAAAAACAGGCTTCCAAAAATTAACAAAGGTCGTATAATGATCGTTTACACGCATGATACACTTAAACAATAAACGTATGATTGAAATATTATTGTTACTTTGAATTCGAAAGTGGCACAATGCAAACTTAATTTTATGTCGTGTGGCGCGAGCCCATGCAACATATCTTCTTACAAAATATTAAAGGGGTTTGAAAAACCTTCCATGTAACTCTTCAATGCTTCTCCACAGTTAACAGTATTTAGAAGAAAAAAATTGCAATAGTTTCCCTTTCCATTTCCTTTACTCTTTTGTCTTTGTTTCTTGGTGGGATTACTGATGCACACTGAATGTGTTCCAAGTAATAAAATCATTGCTGACTAGCTATTATATACCCCTGGTTACACTAAGTATAACCTAACTAGGGCGACATAGTCTAGTGGTTGACTAAATTCGTATCATCGGGTCAGGAAGCCTATTGCTACTCGAAAGTTTGATTGTTATCTAGTCGACAATATAGGTTGTTTTAGACTTAACTACTACACAAGCTTCAAGAAGGAGAAACGATATCTAGGTTTCGGTTCCCTCTCCTAACATATCAGGAGTTGCGTTGTAACAAATAAGTGATGATCAACTATAGCGACTCAAGGTGTGAGGATAACTAATATGGTAATTGAGGCAATGGTCATGTCTCTCAATTTCCCTTCTAACTATATCAATCAACTCGATGACATATAATTGATCTCCATAGGGATGCAACTTTTCATCTTTAAATCAGTTTAAACCATAAGCACACAACCCAAATGACTCAATAATCATGTAATCACCCAAGTTGCATCAATTGAGTAAGCCCCCTACTTAACCTAGGTGAATGATCCTCTACTCTAGGTTAAGCCTCTAAATTAATATCACATGCAATTAAACATGCATAAAGCATTAAACACATCAATTTAACAAGACATCACTATAATTAAATCATTCCATTCATTACAAGCAAACCCATAGGTTAGGTTTAGGAGGACCTTGCCCTAAATGCATCAAAGTACTATCCCATAAATGAGGGAACTGAGACAAAGAAAGAAGGAGATGAAACATTAACAAAGACCTCTTGTTACGGGAGAAACTCACATGTAATCCTTTTCTTTGAGCTCCTCCTCTTCTCTAAGTTAAACTCATAAACTTTATCTCTCTTCTCTCACTTCTGTTATAGAAAAATCTTATCTCTCCCCTTTGGAGGTCTTCCTATATTTATAAATTTGAAGAATTTGGATAATTTCACAATTGTGAACATCATCAATGTCCCGTGAACTCAAAGTGACATCGTTCTTCCCTGATGTTGCCCGGAGATCACGATCATTAGTTTTGATTAGGGCTGGCGGACGGTTTTCCGGTTAGCGGTAACCGGTCGGTTTCAACCGAACCGACCGGTTTTCGGCTAGCCGAAAAATCGACTCCAATTACAACGGTCGGTTGGCGGTGGGGAAGGGTAGGGGTTCGGCTAGCCGACTAACCGGGGTCAAAAACCGGCGGTTAACCGGCTAACCGACCCCTTCCCTTTCCCCAAAACGACCCCGCTTCAATCCTCCTCCCTCAACCCTAAGTCGACTCCTTTGAACCATAAACGACCCCTTCTCATTTGCTTCCCCCTCTTTCGCTTTCCTCTGAACCAGAAACGACCCCTTCTCCTCCCTTCTCAAACTCGATTTCATTTTCTTCTCCCTTCTTTGATTTTGCATGCGATTTCAATTTCTTCTCCCTTCTTCGCCGCTCAACCCTTCCGCCGAGCCCTCCTTGGTCGTCGATTCCGGCATCTTCTTTCCCTCTTTCCTCAAATCAAACCTCTTCCCCCATTCTCAACTTGCTCCGTGATTTTCGCCAAACAACGGCCAGGGAGGTTACGATTCGGATCGCGTTTGGCGGCGGCGGCGGCGAGGAGCACTCCGCCTCGAGGCGCTGGCGGTTCTCGTCGGGACGTGGTGAGCGCGGGCGCGGCGGAGACGCTGGTGGACGCGGTGAGCGCGGGCGCGGCGGAGACGCTGGTGGGCAAGCTGCCTGGAAGGAGAGAAGAAGAAGTTGTTTGTGTGGCGGTGTGAAATGGTGGAGGAAGGAAGGAGAGAGAAGTGGTCTGGTGGAGAAGATAAGTGTGAGATGTGTGGTGAATAATTTTTGGATTTTTTTTTATTTAGAAAAGTTAGTTTTCCGGGTGGCCGGCTAACCGAGGCTAAAACCGAAACTGATCGGTCGGTTGGCCGGCTAACCATGACTACTCTCACGGTCGGTGGTCGGCAGGTATGCAGGGTGGCTCGGTTTAACCGATAACTGGGTTTTCGGTTTTCGGTTAAACCGTAACCGACCGACTGCCACCCCTAGTTTTGATCATGATTTTTCTCTCGATCGTGACTTATAACTCACTGCTCAGACGATGGTCTGTGAATCAGAGCGTGGCACCTTCTGTGGTCTCGATTGTTGGAGTTCACAGCCTCAGGATAAAGATTAAAGATGCTGATTGTATGTGCCTCCCATGAACTTGGGATCACAACCGAATGTTCTGGTCGTGATCTCCTCCGTTTTGCCTGCAAATTCTTCTCTCCTTTATCTTACACTTGAATACTTGATACCATATTTTCTTTTTAAATAGCTTAAATCCAACACATCTTAACCCGAACAAGTCCAAATATGATAGGAAGCATATATAACCTAAAATGTGAGGTTTAATTCGGGTTAATTGCATGATTGGTCACTGAGATTATAAAAAAGTTCAATTTTGGCCACTCTAAATATTTAAATTCGTTGGTGGTACGTCAGTTTACTGAAACCATTCACGTTTGGTCCCTCTCCGTCCAACTTTATTAACTTTGGCTGATGTGGCAGTCAACTCTCAAAGTTGACTGTTAACTTAGTGACGTGACAATTAAGAAATAATAAATAAAAGTTATTTTATTTTAATGTCCAACTCATTTTTACCATAAAAATAAAAAATAATAAAAGGAATATGTACATATATGAAAACTTCATATCATAAACCCTAAAAAAGAAAAAAGAAAAAAACTATGCTCCTCAATTGCATTTCTTCCCCAAATCCCAGCACTAGCTGTGCTCTTCACCATCTCCACGGTTTATCTATTCTCTAGAAAACATAAACATAAAAGAACGGCCACTTGCCCCCTTCCCATTTATCTTCCATTCCTGCTTTGCTTGTTTCTCTCCCAGAAATCCAGAAATCCCCATCAGCTTTTGTCCATCGATTTTTCAATCCCTCACTCTCCCTATCCAAATATCACCATCCAAAACCTTTTCCCAAACCTCCCAAATCCCACCAAACCATTCCCGCTTGCCACCAAACCCGATCTCGGCGAGCCGACGACATCCCGTGCCGTTCACCGATTCTCTCCATCCAAACCCCAAATGTCTCTCCAGCCCGCAGATCTGAACTGTTCCGACCACAACCCGTTACAAACCGCCAGAGCTCAACTGAACTGCTACAGATTCTTTGAGTATTTGAGACAGGTCGGAAATCATCTCCTCGTTTTCACGTCTATAGACAACGACCTCCATCTCGTCGAGCTTAGACGGCGGCATCACCTTCTCCGTCGTCGAACATCTTCAACCCACCAAACAGAGGCGAGGACTTCACATGCAGCAGTTCTCTCGAGCATCTCCGTTGCCCTTGATTGGAAACATGGCGTCAACGTCGAGCACTGTTCAGGCCAAACCTAGGTTCGATTCGCGACCATTGGAAATGGAGATGACCAAATTTCTGAATCTGTTGTTTGAGAATGGTCGGAAGCAAATTGGCATCAATGGTCTTCTTCCTCCAAAGAGGTCGCAAACCCAAGCAAATTTTCTAGGGAGCCGTAAAAGGCGCAAACACAAGTAACTTTTCAAGGGAGCAATAAAAAAGCGCAAACCCAAACCAAGGCACTCATTGCCGATCAACTATGTCATATTTGAAAGGTTCAATACACTTGTATATCCAAAACTTTCATGATTGTGTCAATAGTATCCAAATTTTCCGAAATACCACTTATATCCAATTCCTTCACATTCTTTAACGGTGCTTTTGGATATACAAGTGTATTTTACCAAAAATATATTGGAAAATGGATAGATTTGGCAAAGAACAACTTTCAAACATGGATATAAGTGGTATTTCGGGAAATTCGGATATTATTGGCACAACCGTGAAAGTTTTGGATATACAAGTGTATTAAACCTATTTGAAACAAGCTGGGTATCGGTCACCTTCATACACCAGCTTGAAGGGAGTGTAAGAAGCAATAAAAGTTGATACACCCAAACACGGTGTTGATTCCACAAACTGATCTTGGAAGCCAAGCTTAGCAGCTCGTCGAAGAAACCAAGTTGCCAATGACAATTTAAAACGAAAAGGATGGAACTCTTGTGCAATCCTACACCTGGAGGAAGGCTCAAGAAGTATACGTCGAAGCTCTTCCACGATCAAGACGGTTTTGATCGATACAAGAGCAGAATCGAGCTTGATTTTCTCGGCCAAACTCTCAACCAAAAACTATAACTATGAGACATAGTTTTTAGGGTTTTCCTTTCATATTCAACTCAAAACTACCTTTACAATATGTTTGTAGGTCTTAAATATAGGTTACAAACATTCTAGAATGCAAAAGGAATCCGAAACAAACAAGGTAAGCAAAAATAGTCACAATCCAAACACAAAATGGAAACTTAAAATGCAAGTAACAAACTGGGGTTGACGCCAACTTTGAGATCCTCGTTCTTCCTCCTCCCAATTCTGATTGGATCGCCC